ACCGTATAAAGAGAACAGAAAAAGTATAGTTCTTAGAGTAATAAACAAATCTTACTTCTCCCAACGAGCAAAAATGCAATGAAGTATAAAAAATAATGGAAGGAAAAACGGTAAAACTCCCTTTCATAATATAATTGGAAAATTTTACGATTGGATGAAGTTTAATTCAAGCAACAGCAGACATTTACAAAAGTTTAATACTCACTTTGAAAAATATCGATCCATATTCCGACATCAATGAATCCGACTTCGGCTTGTTCTTATTGTACAAAGCGTACAAATAAAAGCGTTTGTCGTATTTCAAAAAAATTTGCCCCACTTGAAGGGGATTGTTCTCGCATTCCTCCAATTCCCCCAGGAAATCGTGCCTATGGAACTCGTAGATTTTCTCGACGTTTCCGAAGACGGTGTTTCGATGGCCCCTCAGGGCCTGAGGAATGTCTTCGCGTTGCAGTTCTGGGATGTAGTTGACTATTACGTAGTCAAGGGATTTCACATAGTCCCGTTCGGTTTCAATCATTTCGTTAATAATGTAACTAAGGGTTCTGGAAGGAAGAAATTATATTTAGTAATAACACCTTGGGTTATAGCAAAAGTTATACTTTTGTGTTTTTGGTTCCATGTTGTTGTATAAAGCATCCGATGGCAAATCAAGCGTAGAAGCATGGCAGTAAAGGTGATTGTTTGCAGGGACTGGTGGAATTTTCCTTCGTTCCTCCAAATAAGGATCGTCCTCAATGTCGTCGCTGCTATTACTGAGTTGTACATCAATTAGAATAATTAGGTAAATCGTTAGTTGGGTAACTTGCCTCTTATTATATCTATCACTTCCTTCTTCAATAATACTATCTTGCTGATTATCCGTGTTATCTTGGTTGCTTCCGCCACTAGAGCTTCCACCACTACACACTGTACAACTTTCCTTATAATACTGGCACGAACACATTCTCTGTAGAGTTTTTTTAGAGTGTTTATATGAATGAGAACTTTCCTCTCCTACGGAATTATCCGCTGTGGACAGACCACTATCACATCGTCGACACTTGCTGTCCAGATTGTCGACTTTTTCCAGAAGATTTTCCACACTTTCACGTTCTTCTTTTATTCCTAAGTAAAATCAAAAAGTAAAAAAAATATTAAAAATATTGTTCCCACTACCTCCTAATGTCCCACTATTTTTCCTCTCCAATTCCTTGGCGCTTCCTTGGCAATGGCAATTGTGCATTTGAATATACCTTTTCTTCAGTTTGTATGAGACGGTATTTTCCGTATCACTTTCACAGCAATTGCATAATTCACCAGCAGCATGATGACTAAAATAATTGCATACAAAGCAGTTCATCGACTGTTAAATATTCGAAAAAGAGAATAGTACCTGCAGTGATAGATATAAGCCATCGAACTCACGGATCGTCTTCTTATTTGCGTGTTTTGCGACTTTTGAGGGGTACTGGAGGCACTAAATTCCGAACTGGAATATGGTGGCGATTTGTCGGGGTCGGTTGGTTTGTCTGGAGGCAGATCATGCTGATTTGCCTCAGAAATTGCATTTTTTGCACTCTTTAAAAAAAATCCACACCGTTTTGAATTAGTCATAGTTATACTTTAGGATTGAGAAGTTTTACCTCGCACAACTGATGTAACTTTTCGTTTTCGCTTCGCTCAGCTAATTTAAAAAATTCTTCTCGTTCCGCATTATCATCGTCCAAAATGTCGTGACAGCTTTCCAGAAGTAAAAAACACCTCGAACTATCCTCAATCCGTTCCCTGGTTTCCTCCAGATGTTCTCTGAAAGTCTTCATTTCACCTGCCATGCTGTTGCAAACTTCTTTCAGATGTTGCCCTTTGGTGTCGTTAATGTTTTTGCATTCTTCAATAAGGTCAATCGATTTCTCGATTTGTTTCTGAAAAAGAAATTGTTTGAATTAACTACTGAAAGTTCACATACACGGTGTTTCCTAATTGAGAACAAAAATTTCATTGGCGTATTCCTGATCTTATTTTATCAGAAAAACTTAATGCGAACATAAGGTCAAAAATGCTTCATTTGCGAACTACACGTTGTAAAATTTTACGAAATTTTATAGTTTTTATTTTTAAATTTCCATTCTATGTAACATGTTCTAGGCATATTTTGTATACCATTTTGCTCTAATTACGTGAGTGTAAAAAAAGTGAAATTCTGTTATCAGTCAGTGATGGAGATATGGCTGAGTAACATTATTTTTAAAACAAAATCTAGGTGGCCCTATAGAAAAATTAGTTTAGTTAATTCGTTTTTAGTTAAAAAACGGTTCATGAAACAACGTAGGTATATTTAGATTCTCAATAAAAGTTATCTCTTACGTTTTCTTGATCTGTTTGGTCTTATCGCGCTCTTCATAATTTTGGAAAATGAACTGCCTAAGAACAATTATTGCAATTTGTGATTCTACTCGTTAGAAAAGAGCAAATAGATAAAAACAACATAAGAGATAACAATTATTAAGAACTTATACGTTTACGTACAAATTGCCTAAAGAAAGTTTTCTACGGGGCCATCTAGATTTTATTTTAGAAATAATGATACTCAGCCATATCTCAATCACTGACTAAGTAACTAATTTAATTTATTTTCTTTTAATGACCCGTAAATAGAGCAAATCGTATACCAAATTGGCTGGAACATGGTTTGGAAATAAAAAAAAAATAAACCATAAAATTTTGTAAATTTTAACAATTAGTAGATCGGCACAAAGCATTTTTTACTCATGTTTATATTAACTTTTTCACATAAAATCAGGTCAGGAATTTGCCTCTAAAATGTTTTTATCCAATTAGGAAACACCTTGTATAGAGTGATTTACAAAGAACGCGGTTTTTGAAAAATCAATTATTGCAACCATTTGAATTTTAAACAAGTTTGTTGTCGCGTTTTTTAAACTATTCACAATTAATAAAGATATAATAGAAAAAACAAGGCAATTAAGATTGAATTTGAGTTTTTAACATGTTCAGTCACGGCCAGATTTAAGTGAAATTTTAAAACTTTGATTTAGGCGTTATCTTTAGTTTAACTTACTTAGGAGCGAAGTTAATTCAGAAAAGAAAAATCGAGCATTTAGTTATTGAAAAATAATTTGAAAGCCAAAATATCAGAATGGAAAATTTCACAAGGCTTATCGAAAAGAACCTTTTTTCATCGAATTTTCCATGTCAAACTCCGTTTTGGTCGACAAGACCTGCAGTTTGCAGATCTCCTCATCATCTAATAAAACGTACAAGAGATAACGAATAATAATGTTCACTTTAATAATCAAAAACAATTATTCGGAAACTAATTTTTTTCTTAAGAAATGCGCCAAAAATTTAAAAAATTACAATTATTATCAATAATAACACTGATATGAAAAATTGAGTTATTTCACGTCTTAGTAGAACTTGCAAAAATACCAAATATAACTAGAAGTTTTTGGTCGCTGATCTTGGACCAAAAGCATATTAAACCTCGTGATTATATTGAAAGATCATAAAATTAAATTTATTTTAATTTTTCATTCAAGAATGAGAATGTAGAAGAAATAAATATGTAGATTTCGTTTAAGTAAGTTACTAGTAGAAACATACAACTAAAGGAATTTCTCTTTAACAATTAATTTATTGGTTTTATCAACTCCAAATATAATTTTTTTATTGGTTTTTTATTTACCATTATTTGCCAAATTATTACATTTATTTTAGAGGTGTTTTCAATGTTTTATCTACATTAGCAAAATTGTCCGAATCTAAAATCTCCCAGTGTTCGCTTGAATATAGTCACTTTGCCTGATTCATTAGATTCATTCCAACTTTAAGAAAACAAACTTTTTAAACATAATCAATTTGCTAAAGTAATGAATATCGTTTCCAACTTCTACTGTGATCTTCGTCCATAACTACCATCAATAGCGACCTCCTACAGTCCAAAAGAGTTGGCAGTTAAACATGTATGAACATTGTAAATCCGAGTCTTTATTGGACGATAAAAGTGTTGCAAAATTCATGCTCCATCTTTCTGTTGCATAATACTCTTTTGTCAGGTTGATGTCTGGAGGTAATACAAGATGGAGCGTGGGGGGTACTTTACTAGCACGTTAGTACTAAGCCTATTCATAAATTTCATTTTAGTACTGGATTTGATTAAGTCGTATGGAATGGGACTGGTCGGTACTCACTTTCGCAAAATATAGGAGACAATAAGTAGCCACAAGGCAGCCGCTGGGGAATTTGTAAAACAATATTAGACAAATAAAACCTACGGTTGATATTTACGACTTTAAAATTGCTGACTTGTCCTGTGGACTTGGGTGGTTTCACTTTATCGCTAGTCATTGAAAATCGAAGCAGTGTTTTATGCACTTTCGCCCATCTGTTCATTTTTTTAAAGATTTAAGGCCAAGTGTTCCGAACAGGGGCAATAAAAAGTAAAAAAATCTACCACTGAAAAAATATGTAATATTCAAAATTTTTAACCGATAATAAGTCAAACAACATACTACAAATCACTGGAATATCATTACTATATCGAATATCACGCGCCTCTCTTCGGTGGGTTTCCTCTAAGTGAGTGCAGCTTCATTAGAGTTAATGTAAAAGTTTCGCCCACCTTAAGCAACGTTAATAAACACATTATCTATTTTTCCTTCTATTGCACAGAACAAATGGTAATTTCGAAGACCTGTAACAACTTTACATCCCAGTCTAAGGAAAATGACTTCGCGCCTGGCCAATTTCCATAATTTGCGCCAAAATACACACTGAAATGATGTGTTTTTAATAATAAGCATCACTCTTCATCTAGTAGTTCTGCAGGTCTTGCATCGTGACCATTCAAATCGTGCTTTAAGGTGTGCTAACCACCTTTAATTAGGAAGTCGTTATGCGTCCATACACTAATTAGTGTCAGCTTCAAAGTTGCAATTTTGTTTATTTATTGAAAATAAGATCATCGGTTGAAGGGAGAGTGAAAATAATCAAACTTTCCGACCGGAGTGTGTCTGTGCTTGTTGTTGTTAAGCTCAAGGAAATCTTCCTATATACAGCGTGGTGTAGAGTAATAAAATGAGTTAGTAAAAGCAGCATTTTTTTAAATTGCACCTTATGTAGCATTTTCACATATGCATTTCGATTCATCGTGTGTATTAGATGTGGTAGCTCAAATGTACCGTTTCAACGATTTGCGTCATATTTCCACTTTAGATTTCTTCCAGCAATATCAGAGAAAACGTTAAAGTGAGGTTGGTTCCTGATTAATCCAGCCCAATATTGTTAATTCACATTCATTCTAATATTTCATCATTTTCTATCGTTCAATTCTGTATAAATTAACTGACTTTCCATTATCTTCCAGGTTTAATCATCTTTAGAACACCCGTAACGTATCACGGTACCTAAACACGTAATTAACATACTTACTAGTATCGGCTAGATATTTTGAAAATTTTGATGCTCTTACATACTTTGTGACTGTTTAAGCGGTCAAATCATCCGTTTCTTGGAATTTTACACGAAACTTTGTGGACTGGACTTGACGGCCTGCAAGATCACTAGACTTGAAATCGCTTGACTTCTTGTACGCATCGTAAAGGCGATGAAATGTGGAAAGCAATGGACGCATAAAACAACGGCAAGTTAAAAGTTGTAAAAATCAACAATAATTGATTCCTGAAATTTTAGAAACTGATCGGGTAAAACGGCGAGTATCTATGAAACAGTTTAATTTTCATTAATGCTCATTATGGAGCGGAAAGTGTAGCCGAAGAAGAAGCCTATGCTTTACTTGTAACTACGCAATAACATTTTTAGCAAATCTAGCTAAAAAAATGATATCGATACCATGCACGATCCAAAACGACTAAAATCAACCTCAGAATCTAAATATATAAAAATATACAAACGATTTAAAGATCTACGACTTTTGTCAAATACACAACTTCAGCTTGTTAATACAAAAAATCTTCGTAAATTGCACATTTCTAAACCGGTGCCTTGATTCTCAAAGATTAAAAACAATCCGAAAGACGACAAGAAAAAATAACGTTTTAACAGTGATTTGTTTGAACTTACCCATGCAATGAAGAAAAACTCATCAAATCGGTTGGCAACTCCTTTAACACTAGTCGAATCGCCCGAAGCACGCAGAAGTAAACTTAGACTGCTTATTGTTTCATCTCCAACTTTCTTCGCCCATTGAAGAAGCTGAAAAAAAAACGTATAAAAATGAGGTGAAACAATAGGTAACCGAGATTGGATTAACAGATATTATATTTCTAGCGGAATTCATGCTCTACATGAAGACGGTTTCAGTGTCCATATGAACTGTTTGCAATTGTTGAGCGTAACTTTAGAAGGACTGAAACTCTTCAGTTCTTCTAGATTTCGGCCCAATCTGTCTTGTTTTTGAAAAGTGTAGTACAGGCTTTACCAAGAATGGGTTCAACAAACCCAACTGTTTTTTTTAGATATTATTCTCACGTGGAATAAATTAAACAAGTTATTTTTAATGAGAGCTAAAACCTAAGTCTCGATATGAGTTTTAGATTAATTTATGACACCTTGAACCTGTGTAATTTACTAACAAATGTGTCGGTCTGAAGGCTAACCGTAAAGAGAACGACACGAAAAGATCAAGATTTATCTGGTTTTCTACGCTGAAATCGAAACTTTGCTGGCAATGAGATTCGAAGGAAACTTACATGATAGAGTTAACTAAAACGTGTGGCTTTTAATATCGCAGTACATTTTTGGGGCGAAATATCGGGACTTTGACTTGCCTTTTTTAGCAAAATAATGATAAAAAGCAACAGTTCCTATATTTGGAAATTTTTATATACCCACAATTAAGAATAAGAATTAAAAAATAGTACACGCCTGTTTATTTTTTATGTCCAATGCACCATCGAACACCCTGTAAATTACGTATGTACATAATACTGGCGCTTTCATTTCATACTCCTCTTAAGTTCGAAATAAAATATAGGTATTCTTCAATTTACTTAATAATAATGAAGTGTTCTTCAAAGCAACCATCATATAGATAGTCAAGTAACGATCCGGAAAACAACCCATTCACATAGATGAAGAATAGCCGACATTTCATATTAATTTCCATATAGAAATTAATTAGTCACGACTAATAAAATATGGAAACCATAATATGAAGAAGCCTTTTTGGATCTAAAGGATATCGGTCTGTTTCCGCGTTCTCTGGTTAATTAGATGAACTACCGTCCCAATTAATTGAAATGATGCACCTTAAGCAAAAATAAATGATATACAAGATGAGTTTGTTATTAAATGGTTTGCTAATAAAATATTAATGATTTAGATGAATCGAGTAACCTAAAAAACGACAAATTTTCAACTCAATTATGCTAATTAATTGACTGTGACTACTTTAGGACTGATTAAGTTAAAAAGCCCTACTTAATCAGTTATATAAATGGCAGAGCCGACATCAAGCAGGAGATTTTCTACTTTGGGTGTTTAGGGTCAAAACGTGCGCCGGTTTAGCTTAATCCATGTAATTATGTAAAATTATTATTTTAGCTAAAGTATGATTATTTTGTGAAGATACACGACAGATCGGCGAGAGGGTAATAAGCAAAAACTTAGCTGACATTTTTCGTTGTAACTTACTACCGCGTTTCATATTGGAAATCAGTTTCGTCCAATTATGAGGTAAATAATAGTAGGAATTCGAACCGTGACTAGTTAAAGTATTTTGTAAGACGTTAGCCTGAATGTCATGTCACAACTCCTAGAGCTTTTTTGATAAAAAAATTACTATAATAACGATAAAAATTTACTTTGTTAATGTAGCAGAAATGTATCAGGAAAAAACTGGACACAATAATAATTGAGAAGACTTTGCTCTGCACGTTGAAATGTTGAAGTTTTCGAAAGCTTCAGAGTAGAATACTTAAAGACAATGGCTGCTAAATTGTAGGGGAATAAATACATGTAAAAAATTGAACTTCTAAAACCCAATCAAAATTACGACACAAAACTAGATAAATATTGCAAATATTTCTATTCTAATTAATCAGAGTCAGAACAGACTAGATCTTTTGCAGAGGAACATATTTTTTGAATTAATATTTCGTTTATTTAATTTGTTATTGACTTCAATAACATTTCGCATTTAGTATGGTTTCCTTTAAAAATAGAATTCGAGGGTAGAAACCAATTATTGCACTAAAAACTATAACTAGTGAATGAATAATTGGCAGACTTATTCAACTCTTTTAATTAGAACATTCTGAAAGTTGAATCATTCTAACACTTTATGCATTTAAATTCTTGTTCGAATTCTAACGATGTGAAATTAGGTTGCTTACATGTGATAAGATGAATGATTTGAAAATAAAAATAGTTTGATGCAAAAAGTAAAAGTTGTCTGAATAATAATATCAAAGTTTGCCATCTTAACAGTTCACTCATAGGAACTTGAACATATTAAATTTATATAAAATTCAAACAAATTTTCAATTACTTAAGGTATTGATAAGATTGATTCAACATCTAAGCCAACCATATGGAGAGACAAAAGTTCTCTCCAAAGCAGATAGCAAAATGATATAGACACTTTCAAATTAAATTTGCATTAATTAAATTAAACCCAGTTTGCATAACAAGTCGAAAATGTCACAGAATTAATAAAAATACAATTTTAATACAAGTTATAAATCCTAGAGCGAAGGAACTGAGAGAATCTAAAAGAAAATGTTGATTAAGAAGATTCAATACATTTCTCGTGATTCGGTGCCCAATAAAAACGCAAATTATTTAGTAATGTTTTCCTAGAAAACGAGCTGCTTGTGCAAAAAGCTGCGAACTAAATCTCTTTTACCATCTCAGTTCATTCAGAAACCATCAACCCCATTTTCACCATGTCAACATCCGAAATTTTTGAAATTATTGATTTATAGGAAACTTTAATGCTTTCTCGTTGTTTTAATTACCAAAAATAAAATTTTTCGTCTCGATGAACGGTCTACGATAWTTATTCATCCTTAAATAAATATCGCTGAAAATTTTGTTAATGATGGCCTTTAATTAATAATGAACGTTTATTTGTTTAAATGTCTTATGATGCAAYAAATGTTAATCAATCATCCGAAAGTTTGCGCGATGATTGTTAATGAACAATGTTAAAATAAATGAGCGGTATTGATTCGTTTCATTGCACTGTCACTCATCACTTATTGAAATTGGTTAAACAATGCGAATGTATGAAAATGGAGTGATAAATGTGATTTTAGCGCAATACAATGGAATGTCTTTTGTTGCATTTATGCAACCTAGTGATTTGCCGACTATTTGAAGAATTTCCAGTCGGTTTTGAAATGTGGATAAGAATAAAAAATTAATTAAAAAAACAGCAACATTATTTTCAAACTTAGTTTGCGTATTCCAAACGCGCTTAGAACTGGGTTGAATCAAGGAATATCTGGAAGATATTTAATCTATGTCAAAATACAACATAAATACAATTTAACAGTGTTACTAAAATATTTAGTATTAAAAAGCAGTCAAAATTTAACTTACGCACACTTTAATAGTGTTAATGCGCTTTTTTTTTCACTTACAATTTCCGAATTGGATTAAAAAATCAATTCACTCAACTTGGTAATTTTTATCACACATCCTTTGGAAACCTTGTGTCGAACTGTTTTACTCGCTAGAAAATTGCACTGCATTTAATCGTTTTACCATTGTTAACTTGTCTGGGAACCGATAGCACTATTTATATTTTCAGAACTTCAGTCATGACTTCTGCACTTAGACGATGTTAATGTTATATTTGTTCTTGTCAACACAATATATCGATAAGCGTTTTTCTGAATTTCTCGATTACATTCAAGAATCGCTCAAATTAAATGCATTTCAAAATATGTATTTTATAATTCGTTAGGAGGAGAATGCATTCATTATTTTTATGTGGGCCAATTAAAGCAGTCAAAAATGTTGGACCTTAGAGATTCTTTTCACAAAAGTTGGAGATCGGCTTTGCAACGGCCTTATTACAGATTATTTCTGAATAATAATTACAAAATCTACTTGAGTATAATATAACATAAAAAATACGCAACCTCTACATGAATCTATTCCTTAATCGAATTCGAATTTTCAAATAACGTTCAAACAACATGTTTATGGAATTTTTTCTTATCTGCTGTCCGTTGTTAGGTGTATACCTTCCACCCTCCATTCTTTTTGGACGCTTATCAGTAACCATTGATTAAAAAGGAAATTGAAGAAAGTTTAAGCTTAACGGTAGTTTTACAGCAGCGACATCAGTCCGTCGTACTCACATTTTTTGTCAACAAGGCATCCAACGTATGTCTTTGCCAATAAAAGCAAATAGAGCAAATTAGTGAAACAAGTTCATATTGACAATCAGCCGTAAATGGTTCCCAATCAGTATCACTTTTTGCTTCGAACGTGTAAACATCCTGTGCAACATCGGTAAATATGAAATAGACAGTTCCAGTCTTTAGTCGGAATTATTTATGCGTTTATCATGACAACAAGATGATTAGAAGATGCAATTTTCTTACAAATCGTGGAATTCATAGTATAAATTGCAGCTATTTCCACCCGTATATGGAAATATAGTCCAGAGTTCTGCGTATAACTGCATTTCAATTCAGAAGAACCGACTGGAAGGATTTTGATTGGCACTCCATTTATATGTGCAATGTAAACCATTTACAGGTGGGTTTTCTAACAGTAAACTGAAAAATTTCATTTCGATTCGGTGAACTTGGTTTATTTACCTCTTCAGCTTCCTCTTGTAGTGTCCGGTATCTGGCCAGCTCCTTCAGTCTCTCCATTCTCTCCAGTTTGAGCTGCTCAAGTCGCTTAGTAACTCTTTCAACGGCATTGAAGGAGTCATAAGCAAACGAAGTACCTCTTTTAACATCTTGACTACCAGCTAGCCATTGGCTTCTTTCGGCCAAGCTCGTTAAAGTCTTGTTTCCCTCTCGTTTCAGCTTTTGGACTGTTTCAGAGTCCAAAGCTCTCGATATTTGTCTGAAAATTATACATTTAATTGATAACTTTCTATTAATATTAATCCATAAAATTGTGCCACTGAATGCAGACAGCGTTATAGAGTCAAATAGAGTGAATTTTTTGGCAGAGGTAAATCTTTACTTTCGCAGCAATTCATACATTCACATGTTAGAATTTTTCAAAACCTATATTAAAAGACCATTTTTCCTTAAAAAAATTAAAGTTTTTCTAAGACAAGTCAGGGCCTTAAACCTACAGGTTTAATTATCTTTGTAAAAATGAATTCAACCTGAAAGCGAAACAATTCTATAATCATAATAATAAATAACTTAATAATAAGTTAAGAAGCTAAAACGTTTTAGGAAAATATCGGGAAAATGCCCTGATTTGCACTGCGTCACTAACATAAATAATTCAAAACACTTTACTAATGTTTAAAAATAATTTGTTTCAAGTACAATTGTATTAAAAAAATGCATATAAAATTCGTACATTGCCTGTGGTAAATCAAAATCCTCTGGTTGATTAATTAACAGTATTAAGCCAAAACAATAAGAAAATAAATCGAAAATTCCAGCAAAACATTACGAACAAAAAAGATAAATAGTTCATCGACTTCTCTAGAATACCGATAAAATGAAATTCCTGATGAGCTATGCAGAATCTAGACGATTACTTGAACATGTGGAACTTTAAGGATCATTTAGATAAGTTAATATCATTGAGATAAGTTTCTTTGCGGCCTCTATGAAGGCAGAGAAAAAATGTCTTTCTTTCTGTTTGACAGATTTCTTTCGTCACTTTTAAAACCACCAATTGTTTTATGTAAAATAAGATAAAAAACATCGAGAGTTTTTACAAATTTGCATTTTACAAACATTTTGTGTTGCATGTAAACATATTGTTGTACATTTTTTATTTTAAGATTATTGTCCTGAAAAAGTTAAAGTGTGCTTTTTTTAAATTACAAATAATATGCTAATTATCTTCCAATCGGTCATGTGAGGGTAATTATCAAAAGTAGCAAATCTTTCGTGAAAAAATGCACCGAGTGTTTGCCTAACAAATTTAGTAAACATTTCCAAATATCCTAAATGAGGTTGAAACTACGTTATTGACGTTTTGAAAATTGCACAATTTCTCAAACTAATTAATTATTTCTCCAGACTTTCAGTAATTTACACAAACATGTATATTTAGAAACAATTACATTTTCACTTTTTTGAGTCAAATTATGATTTTTTTGTATATCAAGCACACTCTCGGTTTTATTTAGCATTTATTTAAAATTGAGACTTACACAACGTGGTTAATACGACACATGGTTTTTAGTTAAAAAACTCAGGGTATTTTCCGTTGAAAAACACGTCGATATGCAACTTCGGTCAATAACTATGCACACGTAAAAGCACTACTATAGTGAAGAAACTGGATAGCGACAGTGCTATTTAATAGGGCACTTAGAACAAGTCATTCTAAATGACTAGAAATTAAGATTACAGGAGAGTGTGTTCCAATTAAATGCAGTTCTTATGGGGCATTCAGAAAAAAGTGGTTTAAAAATGTTCAAACGGAAACGAGGAAACGAAAAAAACTAAGTAAAAAATTAGAACCAGCAATGAAGAAAATTGTAGTTAGTTTTGAAAATCAAGCACGTTTTTCTTAGTCTAAATTGACCGGTTAGAACGTACTTTTACTGTAACAAACATGTTTATTAAATTACATTATTTTCAAGAGCACATCAGTTTTAAGAAGATTTTTATAATTGTAATTAAGGCATTTATTTTCTTGTGCATTTTCGTCAACATTTACAGGCATATTATCTTTTGGGTGGCATGCATTCCGCTACCCGTTTAGAAAGTGTTTTCAGATATCGCCGCCACATTGATGTTAAATGCTTTGATTACTTGTCAGTTTTTTCACTATGTGAACATTTGATTATTTGTGAGAATGGATCAGTAATCATTTGACTAAAAGGTGAGTCTACCAGCACGTTGCAGGCATAAATATTTATCAGTGTAACTTTTTTTATGTCACGTCCACAGGTTATTTTTGGTAGAGCTTTAAGCTACGGGTGCTTTTATAAAATTTCAAATTTACATAAAACCATGTGAAATTCCAGAAGAAACTGGGGACATTAAAGTGGTTTCTAGAAATAAAAGCAGAAAAAAATTCGAACAGAAAACAGTTGAAAATGATATAAAAAAACATATGTTTTAACTTGTGTTTGCACTTTTTCTCTGTACGGTGATAATTAATGTATAAATTTCGTCACAAGTTTTCTCCGAAAATTTTCTCATAATTAATTTGCATTCATAAGCATTAATTGCTTGGATACGGAAAATGATACAAGAAAAACAAAATGCTTGAATATCTTTCTGGTCGTAAGTCCCAGAAAACAGTTGAAAATGATATAAAAAAAATATGTTTTAACTTGTGTTTGCACTTTTTCTCTGTACGGTGAGAATTAATGTACAAATTTCGTCACAAGTTTTCTCCGAAAATTTTCTCATAATTAATTTGCATCCATAATCATTAATTGCTTGGATACGGAAAATGATACAAGAAAAACATAAGGCTTGAATATCTTTCTGGTCGTAAGTCCCAACAATACAAACACTGAAATCACATTTTTCGGTAAAGATTATTATGGTGTCTGTTTAACCTGAAGATACATATAAATACTTGTTGACAACTTGAAAGATCCGGTAATGAACCTACACGATTATAAATAAATCGCCTATGAAAATGCCAGAAGAGCTAACCAAACTGCCGTTTAATTGCCAAAGAAAGCCCCTTATGCCTCATTAGCTTACAATATTGTTCGGGATGACATAAAACCGTCGTCGATCATAAATTTCATCGAATTAAAGCTGAAACTCATTGTGCGCTTTCGCATTTCTAACACCTCAAGGCAAACGTACACCAAATGATATTAATAGAAAGTTGAATTCGAAGAAACGAAAAAGAAATAGAAAAACGTTCAACCGAAAACGGGGTAAAACGCAAAAGTTCGTGGAAAACTCGTGGAAAAAAAAGCATGATTTCAGATCGATAACAAAAAAGCTCGTATACTTTCTAATATACACTTGGAAATTTTTGAAATATATGGAAAATTTTTAAAGTAATTTTGATAAGAAGAAAATGTCTAGAACGTTAGAAAATAAGTCTAAAGTAGTTTAACACGTTTTGAAACAAGATTTAAGGGAGATCGATTTAAGATGGAAGATCAACGTTTGCCAGAATATTTTCGCTTCTCACATGAAACAATAAGAAATTTTGCTTAAAGTGTAATTAGGCAAAGCCAGTTATTTAAATTGTCGATCGAAAGTCCCAATGATGTTTTAAATATTTTTTACAGGATAAAGTATTGAAAAATTGTTTATAGAATTCATTGTTTATTTATTTATTCAACGTTTTATTACTCGGCAATTAGGAATTTCGCTGGACGCCCGGAGATAAAATAATAGATATCCGAGATTCCGGGGTATCCGCTGCTTAAGCCTCTCGGAGTTCCGAATGTTTGGCTTTTTGGCTTCTATTTTTTGGCAGTTGGGAATTCTTATTAAAACCTAACTGGCAAAAGATCCAGACCGGCTATCGAAAAGGTTAATATTCTACTGTGATGTTTTCAACCTTTTCGGAAATACGACGTTTTCAAACTTCAGGCATCTCAGAAGGGGCGAAGCCCTTGATTAATTTTCAATATTGTAATAAACTTCAACAAATGGCCTTTGGAGGACCGCTAGTAAAGGAAACAAGAAATCGTGAAACTGTGAAGGTTTATTTAGGCGCAAAGGCACAGTCCGAAAAAGTGTCTGCTTTACAAATTACAAATCAGCTTTTTGGAAAAGAACAAAAAACCTACCAATTACTTTGCATTTGTGATGATTTCATTGCCAAAAAGAAACGAAGTCATTTAAACTTATCGCTAATAACAGCTGTTTTTTAATCGATTAACTTAGACTTAATCTAGGAGTGTTTCGGTCAGACCACATCATTTTTGTTTTGACATACATATATAGATATAGAAACAGTTCAAATCGGTGTTTGATAATGTTAAACATGTTTAAGGTTCAGCAGTATTTTATGGGGAAACCCACATTTTTTTCTGGTGTACTAAAAATGATTGTTGATCGAAACGAGGTTAGAGGATATTGACGACTTATTCAATTTTTGTAGGCTTATTTCTCTAGTGGAAACGAAAACCTTCGGCTGAAAATATACATTCAGATTTGCTGTTTAAGAGTGTAAAGCTCCTTAAAACTGTAACTCTTGATGTTTAGTAAACAGATCTAAATAGGGCAGAATTGTAATTATTGTTGAAATAAAAAACGCGGTTTTATGGCACACTTTTTATGAAAAATTATTACTTATTTGACTTCCTCTAGCAGTTAGAAGACATCGGTTCACTCACTTGACTACTTGCGCGCGCTCAAACTTCCAAATGTTAAAATAGTATCTGATTTGTCTATAAAAACGTGACTTACCGAACCTCCATTTGTATCCACCTTGAACTGACTAGATGAAAACTCTCGAATAGTCATGCACTTAAAAGTGTGCAAAACAAAGCTGCACTTCATACGAGTCATGCAAGGCAAACATGACTTTATTATCACCGTCTGGGTCGATTGTGAATTTTCCGCGTAAATGCAAAACTATTTCAAGTTCGTCATCGCGTCAAAATCTGCGACTTTATGGACCAACCGATATTCCATATCTTCAGCGAACTATCTAACATTTTTACAGTACTGTTATGCAGACGAACGTCAGACCAACGAGCTTACTTGAGGTACGACCCAGCACCACTAGATGAAAAATTTTGCATTATTACCATAGTTCTGTCTAACTGTAAGATAAGATATGCGCATACATTACGAATTTTTTTTAAAAACAGATAATGAACTTTAGCCACTACTTGAACGCGCAAACAATGCCCGGCTGAATAATGTGTTTTGAAAATAAAACCGTGTACACCTACAATTAAGTCAAGTGAATGTATTTATTCTCGCCAATAATGAAGAATGCTACATAATATGCCGATGGAAAAAATACGGAAGAGTAGTAAACTGGAGGTCGATGGTCGTCTTTATTAACACCTCCAAGCAACTATTGTATAGCATTTTTTTAACTAGATATTGATTCAGATCTGGCATTTATTACTCTGCTTGCAGCTGCCATTTATGTAACACGATTTTTATTCTTCGATTCCACGTTTCGTTCCATTCATTTACTTCCACATTTTTTTGTCTCGGTGTTAGTGAGGAACTGAGGTGCTGTTGAGGTTTGATGTGAAATTTGAACTTTTTTCCCGAAAATTGTTTCCTTGCCCTCACTATTACTAGCATTTGCTTACTAGTTCAAATTAGATTATTTTGAGGTTTTGCAGAGACAATCGAATTTGAATGTTTTAGAAGTGCTTGCTGACAGCAATAGTG